GCTCAGACAGACAGCTGATTGGTGGAGAGGATGAGCAGATCAAAGCAAATAATGTGGTCGGCTGCTAACGTGTGTTTGGATATCTGTGAACAGAGATGTGACAGCACCTCCTAGTGTTCAGAGAGGACATTTCAAATGTCTTTAATGAAAACAAGTAGTCTTCAGTGGGTTTTGGACAAACTGTTATCTGATTACAGATTTTTATCTTCTGCTGCCAAAACTCAAGGTCATCCCATTTCAAGATGGCTGCCTCAGGTAACACCAGCACCCTGCCGCTGAATGGAGACGATCCAACCACGACTGAGGAGTTTACCTGTTAGATATGATGGACGAGCAGGCAGGGGGGTAGTTATTAAAATAATAATAACTTTTAAGAACTCATTGAACGTGCACCAAGAAATCATTTTTTCTTTGTTCAATGTAAAAATGGATTTTAAATCAATTAAAGCTTAAATTAATCATAAGGTGCAGTAACAATGCTTGTTATTTCACAGTTTTCCTGACCAATACCAAATGATTATATGCAGAAAGCAGATGTCAGTATCCAAAAAGACTGAGCTTTATTCAAACCTTTGCATCCCTCAGAGGAACCGTAGTGCAAAGAGGTCTGTAAGTTAAATGCCACAGGCATCACACTAGGACTGGGCGATTAAATCGATTTAATCAATTAATTCAAATTTGTCATTTATAAAGATTTAATTTTGAGAAAATCAAGATTTTTTTTTCCCACCAGTGCACTCTTTGAGGCTTCGGTAGTTCAGAGGTCACCTCACCTCAAGACACTAGGTACACAACATGACTATACGACAGCTAGCAAAGAGGATCTACTTCTCAAAAAAGGCACAGTTTCTTCAGTTTTCTGGAATTGGTTGGTTTTGCAACCTCAGACTTGGAGCAATGAACACCTCACTGCAAAATCTGTTTGAAGGCTCTTGATACAAAAAGCAGGAGTACGACGAATCTGTTTCAACACCTGAAGCAGAGGCACTCTGTAAAGAGAGAAACAAAATCGATCAAAATCGAATTTGGAATGAAAAAAACCTGAGATTTCTTTTTTGGGGCCATATCGCCCAGCCATACATCACACAGACCAGTCATGGAGTCCCATCACCATTTTGTGGTTGTTGAGCAGATAGTTCCCAGTTAGGACTCCAACCAGTGTACGTTTTCCTTGTCAGAATGATTAGAGCTTTCCCAAACCTTAGATTTAGGTGATTTATCATTTCTTGTACCTGTCTACAGTCTGTCAACTCCCTCCAGAGGACTGAGTGTTGATGTCTAATCCAGACCTGTAGGGCAGTCCTACAGACTAGTTGAGATACCTACAACAGACTCTGGTCCTTTGAAGTGGGCCTGACTGGCAGCTTTTGTTGTGTCAGCTCTCTCGTTACCAATAACACCAGTATGTCCTGGTACCTGTTGAACAGTAACAGTAGCTGTGTTTCCATTGCAAATATGTGCAAAACTTTGTCGATATTCTGTTAATGACGAAAAACGGTTTCACAATTGTGGTGTTTCTATTGAGTAAGAAATGCTCTTAAAATCACACGTGAATATGTTTGTTCTCACATTGGGCCTCATGCAAGAACCGTTCGTACGCACAGATTTGTTCTTAAGTTGTGCGTACGAGTGATTTAGGAGAATTTGTGGCATTCAC